TGGTGTAACAGCATCGTCCCAAAAATAGTAAAATACCGTTTCTGAATTCAAGTTGAGATTTTGACTGCCACAAATGTTTTACACATGGACTACTCATCTGTAGATCTTGTTTTGAAGGAGAGAAATCGGTAGATAACCAGGCAATAAGGGTACTCAGATCTATGTCATTTTTTTGCGCGTCTCTCAATTCAGTTTCAGTATAAGGCTGTAACATCTTCTGTTTTGAGTATGTGACATCTCTAATACTTACAGAACGAACTGTTAGGGGTTTAACAAAGTCTACTTCTTCTTCAAATGTGGACTACTGATTTCGGGCTCTTGTACAGTATTTACACCCTCCGCATGGAAGACTATTAAGTGGAATACTTGGCAAGTACGAGTTGCATTCATTAATTAGTGTATCTTGGATTCGTGAAAGTGCGTCTGCGTTTGTATGTTTTTTACCTGGTCTATGTTGAACTATCATGTTGTATTGTGATATTTCCTCAATCCACCGAGCCAGTTGACCTTCGATTTTCCTGAAATTTAATAGCCAAGTAAGGCTATTATGATCTGTACGGACAACAAACTGATTACCTAGAAGATAATGCCTATACTGCCTTGTGGAAGTGACAATAGCTAATAACTCCTTTCGAGTTGTGCAGTACTTTTTTTGAGCTGGTGTAAGAACCTTACTTGAAAAGCTTATTGTTCTCTCTTTTCCCTCTTGTAGTTGGATAAGTTCAGCACCAATGGTCTTGTCGGAGGCATCAGTGTCGAGAATGAAGGTAGCTTCTGGGTCGGGATAGGCTAAAACTGAAGAATGTATCAACGCCATTTTTAATTGTTCAAAGGCATTTTCTTGTTCTTCAGTCCATACAAACTCTGATTTTTCTCCTGTTAATCGATGCAAAGACACAGCAATTTCAGCATAATTCTTTATGTGCTCTCTGTGGTAGTTTGTAAACCCGAGAAAAGATTCAAGCTCTTTCTTTTTCTTTGGTATTGGCCAACTTTTTACAGTCTGCATATTCTCTGGATTTACCGAAATACCATCTTTGTTTACAATTTTTCCTAAAAACTTGACTTCTTTTTGAAATAGGAAGCATTTTGACGGTTTAAGTTTTGAATTGAAGCATTGAAATCTTTTTAAGATGTTTACAAGCTTAATCAAATGATCGTCAAAGCTGTGTACTAGAACGATGACATCATCCATATATGCAAGGCATTCTTTCCATGTAAGACCTTTCAAAACCAACTGAATGACTCGGCTGAAAGTTGCTGGCGAGTTGCATAGTCCAAAAGGCAGTCGGACATGTTCGAAAAGTCCATATTTCGTTACGAAAGCTGTTTTATGTCGGTCTTTCTCATCGATCTCTATTTGCCAGTATCCCGCAGCCATATCTAAAGTACTCATATAGGTACTCCCTCTCAATGTATCCATGCAAGACTCAATCTTTGGCAAAGGAAAAACGTCCTTAGTCGTTACTTTATTTAACGGACGAAAATCAATACAGTATCGCAGACTGCCATCTTTCTTTCTTACTAGAACATTACAGGAACACCAATCTGAAATAGAAGGTTTAACAACCCCCTTATCCAGCATTTGACTAAGATGTTTTTCTTCTTCATTTTCAAATTTCAGTGGAGTTCTACGCATTTGTTGTTTAATTGCTGCTGCTTCTCCTGTGTGTATTTGATGTTTAATGTCTTCATTAAACAATCCTAGATCCATGTCTCCTTTAGCAAAAATATTTTGAAATTCAATAAGTACTTCCGCAATCTTTATGCTACGATCTATGTCAAAATCTTTTACTGTTCGAGCATACAAATCTTGCAGGTGTTCTGGAATCTTAGAATTGAGTTCCTTCAATTTGCTAACTTTATTCACAGAATTTTCATCATTTTGTAAAGTACGAATGCACGTTTTCGATTTTAAAGTACATAAGTCATTTTCTTTAGTGAAACTTTGATCTTCCGGAATACTTTGTACATTATATTTTGTGGACGGACTGACAGAGAATCTGTCACCTAGGGGCGGACTGACAGAAAATCTGTCACCTAGGGGCGGACTGACAGAAAATCTGTCACCTAGGGGCGGACTGACAGAAAATCTGTCACCTACCTTTTCCAATGTCTCGAAATTACAAGATGGCGAATTGACAGAAAATCTGTCACTAATGTTTTTTGATGTTTTGTACCTATACGGATTTTTGACATTGACAGAAATTCTGTCACTATGTACTTTGGAATCCTCAGCCAAATCATCATGATCAGTTACAATATTGTATATCTCCATACCAATACCAAAAATTATGACCTCCTTTCAATGTAATAAAAGTGTCTGTGTCATTTCGAAATACAGCTTTCACTGTTTCATCTTTAGGAATTAAAGCGTTGGGGGACAATAGACCTTTCAAATTAGTTTTCGTTTGAATGATTATATCATCTGTTGGAGTGTGATCAATTTCCATATCAACTATTTTTAAGCTATGAGGTGGAACAACTGTTTTTTTCTTTATACTAATTCTGTATAAATTTATTTCTTCTCCCTCGTTCCCAACCAGGCAGACAGCTGGTATTGCCTCATTGTTTATGCGGACTGTGTAGTTTGCCATATCAATAACTGCACCAAATTTCTCCAAGAAATCAATACCCAGAATGATATTATCATTTATGTTAGCAGTTACAAACCTCCATTTTGATTTTGACTTTCCTATTTCGATAGGTATCTCTTCTGTATATCTAGCATCAATCTTAGAGTTCTTTCCGGCTCCTCGTAAAACTAAATGTTCATTTAGTTTAATTGTTGACTGCAAAAGTGGTAAAATTGAAGTACTCAAAACAGATATTTGAGCAGCACTATCTACTACAGTCTTAAATGTTTTCCCTAAAACTTTCATCTCAATGAACAAGGTTTTAGATTTTTGGTTTTTATCGTATGAAAAAATTTCTTGAATCGAAAACTCCTGTTCTTGGTCAGACATTTCTGTTGGTCGTTGGCCTGTCTCATCTGAAAAGGTCAAGGATCGGCCTACATCCTTGGCCCTTAGTCGTTTAAAGCTTTTGGTGATGGAGACCTATTACGATAAGGTTTCTTGTTTTTTGCAATCCCTACTAAAATGACCTTCCTCTCCGCAATTGTAGCAATTACCTCTTGCAGGGCTGTTGTATCTTCTTTGTGGCGAAAAAGCTCGATCTGATCTCTGTGGTGACCTTGACCTCATATTCTGGCTAACTATGCTTAATACTTTTTTCACCATAATCTTTGTTTCTAATAAATCTTCTTCTGTCTTCTGTAATCTTTTCTCGAAAATATTCATCTTATTTGCTCCTTTTTCAGACTTCATGAGTGCACGTACTGATGTTTCCTGTATATCATCATTTTGTTCCATAAAAGAAACCCTTTTAATTTCGGTTCTTCTTGTACCCATTATAACTTTTTGATTTGCTACTGCACTTCGTACATGTTATACCGCTTGATCTAGAGAATCTGGATTTTTGTCCATAGCAGTCAAAGCTGCACGCTTATCTACACAACCTTTAAGAAAAGCATCTGTTGCCAAAGTCTGCACAAACCTATCTAGTGTGTCTGGATAGCCATCTGTAGCCAGCTCTTGTGCTCTTTCTGCAAATTCCTCCAAAGACTCTTCTTGGTCTTGTTTTAAATCCTGCAAAAGTCTTCTCACAATGTGTGGTGGTTCCTTTCTGCCAAAACGCTCTTCCATCTTTTTACATAAGCTTTCATAATTAGTTTGTACTAACTTCGGTCTCGAGCTATAAAATTTTAAGGCTTTATCTCGCAAACATTCTATCAATTTGTATAGTCTTTGCTCACTTTGCCACTTATATCTGTAGGACTCAAATCTATGGTGGGTTCCAAATCCATGGCAGATTCCTAATCTATGGTAAAGGTGACGTCATGCCACACAAAGAAACTCTAAACCCGTCATATATGTAGGACTCAAATCTATGGTGGGTTCCAAATCCATGGCAGATTCCTAATCTATGGTAAAGGTGACGTCATGCCACCCCAAATCTATGGCAGATTGTTTTACAATCCTAATCTATGGCAAGTTTTGTAATTTCCTAATCTATGGCGGTTTTTTTGTTCTTTTCAAATCTATTTCAATTTTTTTGCAAATGGAAAACAATGCAGTATATATACGACCAATGACTTGTCTTAAACAAGTGGGCATGTACGACGGGAGCATGTATATAAATATTTGTGAAATTTCATAATGGTCAACCAAATCATGTTGGCAACCAATCAAATTCGTAAATGATGAAATCATATACCTTAATACAGACTTCAAGATTGAAATGATGTGCACCGTAAAAATAAACATTTTTTAATCTGTGAATGTTACCTATTTAACCCATTCATTAAACCAACTAGTAAGTCCCTTATAAACAAAAAAGGGGATAGTTTTTTTTATAAAACAAAAATGATAAATAAAAATGAACAGTTTGAGTTTTCAAATAATATTTACTTTATCGTTAATATAATTTTTATTTGAAGACGATTTAAATCAAATTGGTATCCGATAATTTTATCTTTCACTTTATAAACTTTGCCAGCTGTAGACAGTAAAATATTTACTATAACTCCTTTTCTAAAATATCCGGTACTGAAAAAAGTGGTGCCCTTGTTCATCGCGGGTTTCGGCCGGTACAGCACATTTTGTCCCTCTTCCGGATAATAAGTCATATCTTCCTTTAAACCATCCGCAAATTGTTGTCGAGGGAAATACCTTCATCTGGAATCGTGTTCAAATCTATGAGTTTCGCCAACGTTTGCGGTGGCGACGATGTAATATTGCGTTATTCTATTGTGACGTAATTTAAAGATCTGCCATAGATTTGGAGAAAACAAAAATCTGCCATAGATTTGATTTGTTTGACGTTTGTTACGTCACATTTGCCATAGATTAGGAATCTGCCATAGATTTGGAACCCGCCATAGATTTGAGTCCTACATATCTATCAGCTATAGTGCTAAATTGTAAATAATAAGGACGTCAGTCATTTTTGCCATCATATGTTGACATCTTTGGTGCTGTGGGACCAACATAATCTGAGTTTTTAAGATCATAAGCATTATATTTTCCTTTCAATAATTGAACCGGACCACTCTTTTTCTCTTTATCTGCTATGACTTTTTCTACTTTAATCAAAGTTTCTTTTTGTTGTAGTTGAGCCTGAATTATTTTTGAATATTCATGTATATCTTTTATTTCTTCATTTTCTGATTTAATCATTTCCTTCATTTGCTCAGTTTGTTCTTCTTTCTGTTTTGTATAGACGTCTCTTTGTTGTTCAAAAATAAGCCTTTGTTCTTCTAGATGTGCTTTACTCTGTTCAGAATTTCTCTCTATTTTTGTTTGTAATGCCTCTGCCATATCATCTCTTGACTTTTCTACCGACAATATTTAATGACGTAGTGACTCAATAGTATTTTGCAAGACCTCTTGACCTTCATCTGCATCTTCTGGGTCTTCTAAACAAATAATGTTCTCACTTAACAGTGCAGTCCACAATGATTGTGGTATTTCTGATATCTCTTCTAAATTATCTAGATTAAGTAAACCCACTTCTTCTCTCTTTGCAATTATTGCTAAGGCTCTAGTTTCACCAATCTTTTTAATCGCTTATAACTGTGTAAAGGTAGCTTTGTTTATATTTATAGGTTTTGCCATTTTAATTTATCTTGGCGCAATGTTTATAAATATGCGGTTTATTTTTCAATGATTAACCGTATTGCGGATTGTCAGTAAAACTGACACAAGCAATTTTGTCGTTTTAGAAATTGAAAATTATCAAAGTAATTTCAATCGGTTGTCAAAAATCCTGACATTAGATTTCCATGATTATTATACTCATGAAATGTGTAATGTTTCTTTTTCTATAGGTACTATATTCATTTGGTTTTCTTTGTTGTGACCAATTTTCCTTTTTCAATTTTGCCGCCACAATGTCAGTAAACACTGAATGTCTCGAGTCGATTTAAAGTAGATTCGAACCGACTTCTGACACCAATGTTGTAATGGTGCAATAATTAGATATACCTTTCCAAATAGCAGTTACAGTTTTCGTATACAATACGATGTAATGGCAGGAATCTCAGGACTGGAATCCAACACAACGAGATCAGCTGAGCTCCGGAAATAATCTGCAAGGTTGCGCAGTAAATAACTGGTTAAGTCCCGGTATCAAATCCGGTTATGATATCGTCTTTCCGGACCTTTACTACATTACTTCTAATCATGTAATGTGACAGTCACTTTTGATTTCCATAAAGAATTTAACACCACAAATGGAGTTTTTCTAGGAGATGATTACAAACACATTCAGTCAGTGGTGCATGCCGATTGTCTAGTCTAAAGGCGCCAACCCTTCCCTACCATGGGATAGTGGTGTAAATATGTAACAGAACAACATAAGAACAAACTATAAAAATCAGTTGAAAAAGGCTTAACTCATCAGATAGATACAAAGCAGAAATACATCTAACAAAACAGAGTGGACGTGGCAGGGTACTTATACATGCCCATCACAAAAAAGACACTAAGCACAGATCTGAGAGTACTCGCAGTTACTGACAGCTAGTTCAAAGACAATAACAACTAATAAAAAATCATGCATCTAAGACTAAAATATCAATAAGTACACATCCAACGTCCAATGGATTTAGTGTAAAGACGTCATTAACAGTCAGAGAAAAACATGACCTTGTACAATGCCAAGATACAGGTATCGACAGATTGTAGTGCCATGAATGTGCAAATGTGTATATAAAAATGATATTTAGTTTGATTTTAATTTACCGATAACAAAATCAATATTAATACCAATAAAAACAATATTCAAAGAACTAATTATAGTGTTGAATTGGTAACCTTTTAGAAAAGTTTATTTAAAGGAGCGATAAGTTTACCCGAATCGTATCTAAATTTCCGGGCTCGGTAAACGGCATCCCCGTAAACATTAGGATGTGTTATCATTTTAGTTTGAATTGGCTTTAAATTAAAGGCCACATTAGTTTACCTCAATTCATAATGCGCCTCAGGTGCAGTAGAACTGGTACCGTTAATGTTATTACAGCTGTTCAAATCTGACAAATCCACTAAAAAGATAAAAATCGAGGTAAAAAAACCCAACAAAATTGGAAATGGAAAAAGAAAATAAATCTGTTGCGCTTTTCTGGATTTTCCTTCATGAGCAAAGTTCATGATGTCAAAAATGTATACCAATCTGAACACGTGAAGGGCTGTATGACCAAAGGGTACCTAAAAGAAGAAACAAACACATTTATGGTCAAATTAGCCCGAGGAAGATGTTTTTCTCTTGATAATATTGCAGTTTATCATATTTGTTTTGAATCCACATAATTTAAATTGGAAGCCAGTAAGTAGTTAAAATACAATGTACCAAAAATCATCGGACCATCTATGATATAACTCCTGTAGCCTTTGCTGTTAATAGGTGTCAAAACTACACCAAGTTTAAGTATATTGTTTTTCGAAGCCTTATTAGTTTTATTTACGACAAAACAATAGAAGGTAGCCTAAAGGGGATAGCATATCGCCTATATTACGGATAATATCATATTTACAGATAAGATGTTTAAACTATTATAGAATGTTTGAAAGTATCCACAGGCTTCTGTATTTGAAAATTAGTGGCAACAGTAGTTTGGCGTTGTTCAAAATCTCATAAATCCAATTAAAAAGATACTAATCAAAGTAAAAAAAAAAAAATCTTACGTAAATTCGCATGATCTTCAGTAGGAGCAAGACCGGATGCGTCTACAAGATAATCGTTTCTCCTATATATGATTCATTCGGCAAGCGAATCCAATAAAAGCTACTTCAAGTTTAGGCAAAGTTTCGCTCATAAATATCAGCTTCATAAACTTTTTTATTCTAGCTTACAGTACAAATTGTGAAATGTATGCACTAACAATGTCTAACAAATGGTAAACCTTTACTGTTGCAGAAGGTGTCATTAATAAATACATTCATATGTTTAATAAACTCGGGATTATGAGTTTTTATTTCATCCACAACGTATCTGGTATCTTGTCAGAATTTATAATTTTCTCTTTTTAATGTTTATGCACGTAAGAAGATTCATAGCAAAAAAGACAAAAGTTCTGCAATCAGAAGCGCTCAGTTGGTACCAATAGGAAATCCTGTGATTTGAGTTGACTGAATCTTGTAATAACGTACACAGATATCGTAATACAAGAAAGTGAAAGCATTTACCACAGTCATCTGCGCCTACCCAGAAAAAGTTATTTTCGATCTGTTATGACTAAGTTGAGAAGAAAGACAGTCTTGTTTTATTTTTACTACAATAGATAAATTTCAGACATGATTTATCTTAATCAGATTTAATTAGATAACCAAAATATTTGATCAAATTTTGTGGAAGAGTGCACAGGGTCGAAAAATCACCAGCGCAAAAACACAATACAACGGCACACGATTATCAAAGACAGTTATTATTTTGTTAATATATAGAAAAATATATTTGTCACAGTGATCCTTCTAGAAAATTGAAATACCAAAAACACTATTGTATGATACACGAGGGGTATTGTATATAACTTATAATATCACATTCCTATGCATTTTGTAATATGTTACTTTATCTTTTAGTTGAGATTGTTATGTGATAAATGGGAGATAACTCAATTTATACTTTGACCAATCACTCATTTAAAATTATATTATGCGTACGATACTTACGTTCAGTATATTTTTTTATAAAATGTTTCGCTTTTCCTGACGTCCAAATGTGTATCTCGCAAACATTGAAACCAGTGAACGAAGAATTATTCAAATATGTCTCTACTACAGGCATAACAAGATAGTAAGTACAATTTTTAAAATCATTTGGTTTTGACAATAGAAGTAAAAAAAGGTTAACATGCTGGCTTTTTCATATACTCTTTAAAATATATATATAAAAAACGTACATTTGTCAATTTTTCTAATGGAATGCGTCCTATGATGAAAAATGATATACATTTTACTTTAAGATGATAAACATACACATATACATGCATTAGGTAGTATGACTTTAAGCGGAGTTAAGGATGTTCGCTACTCTGTTTCAAAATAACAAGCTTTTTAAAAGACTGTCATAAGTTGATAGTATATAAAAAAGGAACTAAGGAAGCAGAAAAATATGAAAAAATAACAAGGATTTTATAGCATTTTCAAATATGGCTTTTTAAACTATATGTAATAAAATTATGAAAAGAAAAGCAGGGGTAAGCGGGAAATTTTTTTTAATGGCAGTACATGGATAAAACCAGAGGATTCCGAATATCTGGCAAAAAATCAAAAACAAGAGGAGCGAACATCCTTAAAATAATAACCTCCGCAACCTTTAGCATATTTTACGGACAATGGCCAACTTTTGGAAATATGCATCAGTTAATATCATGAATCTGCCATTTATCATAGGCTAAAATACATGTTCGGATGACCATACTAAAATTATGTTATGATAGTACGTTGCGACATATTACTTTTAAATGTTCGTACAATCCAGCTATCATTCTTAATTTATGGAATAACTGTCCCAAATAACATACCACTGACCCCAACCAACTGTAGATTAATAAGAAGTAAGCAAATACCACGCATTCTACGTCAAAGTTGTATTTCTACATTTACAGTGTTACTGTATTATGTACACTGTTACTGACATACTGCTAACTTTGTCCTTAGTATATATTGTCTGATACATATTTTATTTGCATGATGTTTCTATATCTTTTTTGTATTACGTATATACTTTCTCCATTTCATTTCATTCATCCTGCCAAACCTCAGCTATTATTTACTTACATAGTACTTTTATAGTGAACAATACAAAAACAAAAATCGAAAAAAATACAAGAACGAGCACTCAGATTTATTTACGACCACTACAAAAGCTCTACCAACACCCATCTTGAACAGTCTAAACTACCAGCACTACAAATTAGATGGATGAGGACCATGACATTAGAGACCTACAAAATAATAAATAAATCCAGTTCGAATTTTTAACATGTTTGTAATCATTAAAGAAAATGCATATAATCTTAGGTCACGACCGAAAACAACGAGGTATGGTAAGAAATGATTGGGTGACGAGGAAACACTGACCTCAGTGACTTATTATTACTTTTTTATTTTCTGTTGTCATGTGCTTTGCTTATATTGATATATTATGCTTTTATTGCTTGTATGTATTTTATCTGAATATGCTGATCTGCACTTTGTATTGCATGAGCTTTGTCTTTATTGATATCTTCTGCCTGCATGTGTTTTATATGTTTTATATGTAAATGTTGCTTTGTTTTCTATATTGCATGTGTATTGTATATTGGGCTTTGTATTTGATTATATGTGCTGCTTGTATTGCTTGTATGTGCTGTATATGTAATAGGAAATAACAAAGGATATGGGGTATCCATCCATGACACAAAATCAGTACATGCACAGCAAAATATTTGCTATCCAATAATTGATCCTGTTTTGTTATCATATATCACTTAGAGCCCATGTTCTATTGTCGAATGTTTTTTATGGACCGACTTTGAATAATGATGAGTTCACTTTTACGTAATACAAATGTACTATTCATATCCCCATTTGTCCATTGAAATGTGTGTCGAAATTTTCTTAGGAACTACCATCAGTACTTCCTGAAATTTGTAATTAAACTTCCAGTGAGCATACATCTCTTTATTTTTATATGTTTTATTATGTGATAAATTTTCTTATTTCCCGAACACTTATATATTCTAACACATAATGGTCATGTATGTTTTCTCAAGAACCACAAATCTGGGCTTTTTGAAGTTGTAATAAGCTTCACGTGAGTATGCCATACCGTATTGTGTGTTTTCACATCCAATGAGCACCAACTTCAAGTTTAAGGAATACATATAGCGGTTGAATCATCTGTGAGCAATATCTCATGGTTAAACTTGTTAATTTTGCATACATAGTAATTATTTGAAATAAACATTGAAATTTAAAACTAGTAAGATGACCAATGGACGTGTGCGTTTCAAGAAATGATGAGTTTAATTCGTTTGCAGCGATTATATTATCTAGCATAATTTGCTTAAATATATAATACCTTTACAGAAACAGACAAGCACTAAAATTGTCATACATATATAATACCTTTACAGAAACAGACAAGTATTAAAATTGTCATACATATATAATACCTTTACAGAAACAGACAAGTATTAAAATTGTCATACATATATAATACCTTTACAGAAACAGACAAGTATTAAAATTGTCATACATATATAATACCTTTACAGAAACAGACAAGTATTAAAATTATCATACATATATAATACCTTTACAGAAACAGACAAGTATTAAAATTATCATACATATATAATACCTTTACAGAAACAGACAAGTATTAAAATTGTCATACATATATAATACCTTTACAGAAACAGACAAGTATTAAAATTGTCATACATATATAATACCTTTACAGAAACAGACAAGTATTAAAATTGTCATACATATATAATACCTTTACAGAAACAGACAAGTATTAAAATTATCATACATATATAATACCTTTACAGAAACAGACAAGTATTAAAATTATCATACATATATAATACCTTTACAGAAACAGACAAGTATTAAAATTATCATACATATATAATACCTTTACAGAAACAGACAAGTATTAAAATTGTCATACATATAGTTAAATGAATATTAACTGAATACACTGCAACAAGTTTTAAAAGGTATTCAAGTATGATAAATCATAAACAAGTTTATTCCTTATTCCCTTTATTTTAAATTCTAGTAGGTTTCAGTTATTACAACTTTCAGATTTTGACCTTTCGAGTAATTTAAAACAAATACATTGCACTTTTTCCGTAATTAACTATTAAGGCAATGCAAAGTACAGTTTTGTAATACATTAGACTTTGTCTTGCGTTTTAGAACACTTTTGTTTCTGCATAATGTTGTATATAGCAATATGAAGATGTGGTATACATGTGTAACTGCCAATGAGACAACTCTCCAACAGAGACCAAATGACATAGAAGTTCACAACTATAAGTCACCGTATCGCATAGTCAGCGATAAAAGGCACAAAAAGGACAAATGTTAAACAATTCAAACGAGAAAACAAACGGCGTGAATTATATAAAACAACAATGAACGAAATACAAATATGATATACAGCAACAAAACACAATCACTAAATTACAGGATCGATCCTTACTTGGGACAGGCACATACAGAATGTGGCGGGGTTAAACATATTAGTGGGCGAGGAGGAGTTTCGCTGACAAGGCAAATGGACAGACGAAAAAACAGATGGACTGACTCACTAAAAAATACTAAACCCGCAATACTATTAGTATATTAAAGTTAATAAACTCTTTTGTCTCCCCATTTTCACATGTTTGACCTGGAACCCACACTAAGGTAGTGTTCTAAAATGTTGTAAAGTTTCATCACGATCGCAAGGTCGTTTAAGATTGTTGCGCTGAAAGGCACGTGGAGAGACAGACAGACAGAATGACAAAATGTGCAAAATAGGCAAATGATTTTATAGTTGTTTTCTAGGAATCGCTTATTTGTTCCATTACTGTTTTTTTTTCAAGCGATCATTTATTTGATATGCCTGTAAGGAAAAAAACAAATCCAAAAGAAAAAAAAAATGAGGAACAATCAGAAGTTTGAACGAACCTGCCAAGGGAAGTAAAGGCATCCATGCAGAGAGATATAAGGTCGACGAATCGAAAATATTACCTCATGTTCGGGCTGGTATTTGTCTAGACGACAGCTTGACTTGATAATGCAGAAAAAAATATCAAAACAACAATAACAAAACAGTATATTAATTCTATTACAGTAATAACAAGTTATATTTTATTGATGTGTCTTCATATGTCTGTAATAGCTTGCAGCCCAATTATATGTCTTCCCACATACATCACAACGATGCATATTATCACTATGCTTCCCAGTATTATGATTGCGAAGGCCAACTTTACATGAACATTGCATGTTACACTCAAAACATTTTGCCTCCTTCTTTTCGTGACATTTTGCTTCATGTGTCTGCAGCAAATGCTTGTAAAAGAAGGATTTTCTGCACTTAGAACATTTGAATGGTTTGTAATGTTGATGTTTGTTTACATGCCCATTAAAGTGCTGTTTACTGATAAAAGTTTTATCACAGTAAGGTCACTTCTGATCAAAATTACCAATTACTTTCATCATGTGGTATGCCAGACCCGGTCTACTCCTAAAGGTCTTCGAACAATGACTGCAAATCAAACCATCTCCATGTTTAATATTCTGGTGATCTCTTAACAGAGATTCGCCCTGGAATTTTGAAGGGCATGCATCACATTTAAAATTAAGGTCCATAATGTGAGATCTCTTATGCTTAGAGATGCTACTCGGCCATCTTGTGGTAAACTCACACTGCTGGCATACACGTTTGGGTTCATTCTCTTCCTCTTCTGTTGTGGAGCCGACCACATGACCTGTAAATTAAAAACAAAAATGAATCATAAAAGCTTCCATACGTGTAGGGAGAGTATCGGATATGTATTGTTTGGATGCGTTCATAAAGAAATTTAATAGATGTAACATATGTGAACAATAATTACGACGATGTTCATAATACCTTTATTTGATTGATTTTGCTTCAAAAACCAATTAAGAAATTGGAAAGATGCTACCAAACACATTTTGACGTTTAGCAGTGACATTAAAACTGCTTATTAACATACAATGTTACTTATGGTGACATTAAAAAAATACTGCTATCATATTTTAAAAGTATTGCATCCATATTAGAAGTTATAGCATTTGTTTGTTTATGTACACAAGAAAAACACAGCACTTCAAATTTTACACGGACATAATCTTTTGCTTTTAACTAACTATTGAATATATATTTAGACTTAATTGTTGGTTGTATTTGAACAATATGTTTTAAAATTGGTATTTTCTTAACAAAATCTTACCTTGATTCTTGTTGAACTGGTGTACATGATTATTTCCCCATCAAAACGACCTCGAAAAGCAGGATATTGTCGATTTTCCGCTCTAGCGATTTATTGTTGTAGGAAAAAAAAAACAAACCTTCCATTCGACGCGTTATATAATCCAGATTTATTGAATTGATTTTTAAAAATATGAAACATATTTACAATTTCATATTAGACAATATCGCTTGTCCATATAAGAAACGTTTTTCTGCATTCGCTTTTTCCATAGACTGATGAATGTAAGAAGTATTAAAAAGTGTTTTTTTTTATACTTGTTTACTTTAAACTATCCACCAGAGACCAAAGAACATTGATTTATAAACTACAGGTCACCCTTAGGCCTTCAACAATTAGCAATGTCCATACTATAAAGTCAGCTAAAAAAGGCCTGTACATGACACAATATGAGGCATTTAAAAAAATTAAACAAATGGCCTGTAATCTCATTGGAAAAGCTTCACTCTGCCAGCTATATGAATAAGTAGTTAAGAAGACGTATAAATATATATTATATTAAAGCCATTTGCTGCAACTCATTTAATGAGAAAGGTAAACATGATAGATATACTTACTAGAGGTCTAATGAAATGGTTGAAGCTGTTAATTTTCTCCTTGATACTATTTATGTACGTTTCGGCAATAAAGTTTATCGACAGGTTGTAGGTATTCCTATGGGCACCAATTGCGCCCCTTTAATAGTAGACCTGTTATTGTACTGTTATGAATCACCGTTTATGATCAAACTCAGTAAAGACCCGTCTTAATTGCATTTAATTGATAAATTCAACAACACTTACCGTTATCTTTATGATATTTTTTCGTTAAATAATCAAGAATTTTCTAAATATACTGCCGAAATTTACCCAAAGGACACAACTCGTTCGCTATGCCCATGTCTGCTGTGACGTTTTGGATTTCAATTAACGTAATCTATGTATTACTGGTAAGTTATAAGTCAGGGATTTCGTTACCACAAATCACTTAAAACCTTTACTAAATTATTCCATAGATATAAAGATTTGGTTTTGAAGTTTGGTTGTACCTGTAGAAAACTTATTTCAAACGGGATAGCACATCCTAAATTTTACGGAGATGTTGTTTACCGAGCCTGGAAATTTAGAAACGATCCGGTTAAACTTATGGATCCTTTAAGTAAACTAATTTTAAAAGGGTTACCAATTGAACACTGTAATCAGATTTTTGAATATTGTTTTTATTGGTATAAATATTGATTTTGTTGTCAGTAAATTAAAATCAAACTAAATATTATTTGTGTATACATATGCACATTCATGGCTCTACAATCTGTCGATACCTGTATCTTGGCATTGCACAAGAGCATGTTTTCTCTGACTGTTAATGATGTGTACTGAGATTTTTATAGTTTGTTCTTTTGTTGAACTGTTACATCACTGTCCCAAGTTAGGAGGAGGGTTGGCGCCTTCAAACTAGTTTAACACCGCCACATTATGTATGTGCCTGTCCCAAGTCAGGAGCCTGTTATTCAGTGGTTGCCGTTTGTTGCTGTGTAACATATTTGTTTTTCGTTCATTATTTGTACATTTATTAGGCCGTTAGTTTTCTAGTTTGAATTGTTTTACATTTATCATTTCGGGGCCATTTATAGCTGACTATGCGGTATGGGCTTTGCTCATTGTTGAAGGCCGAACGGTGACCTATAGTTGTGAATTTCTGTGTCATTTGGTCTCTTGTGGAGACTTGTCCCATTGGCAATCATACCACATCTTCTTATTTTTATATATAAATACATTTCTTTGAATCAATTTTGGCAGCAAAAATTGACAAGTGAAACACAAATTCACATAACACAAGTATATATACTATTTGGGAGAATTTAGCATCTGAGATATTACAGATGCACATGTTTCTATGGCAATGTTTTTTAAAACTTAAAATTGTGGTACTTTATATCTATAAATAAGAAATGTCTATCATTCGTTTTTTCTTAAAAAAATATGATTGGTAGAGAAAACGGAGATATTGTCCCTATATATCTTTACAAAACAATTTGAAACATATTTTTTTTCTGGATAAATTTCTTAAATGGCTCGAATGGGTAACCCCCACTTTTTTTAACCTCACCTGGCCCAAAGGGCCAAATGAGCTTTTTCATCACTTGGCGTCCGTCGTCCGTCGTCGTCGTCGTCCGTTAACTTACGCAAAAATCTTCTTATCTGAAACTACTGGACCAAATCTTGTCATGGGGATGGGGAGAGGAGGTGTCTTATTTGTAATGAGTTGTACGGAGGAGACTGTTGAACTTGTACATATTTCAAGTTTGATTATATATAATAAGGGACATGGCAAAAAAGTAAGAAGAAATATTTGATTACGTTGTTGATTATATCATAAGTATCTGAAACAAATCAGATTTCGTATTTTTTAAAGATAAGAATAAAACCACTGCATGCACTGTGTGAATGCATCATGATCAGATATACATGTATGGCAAATGTATTTATCTCTCTAAGAAATAACATATTCATAAAAGCTATAATTTTAGGCAAAAATATATGATAGGGTATGTTTTTATAAAATTCAAAATATACGAAAAAGGTAGGGTACTGGAAGTCGCGGCGGCTTATCCCTACCAAAAATGTTTGAAGTGCACTCTCTCCCGTCACAAATAGAATTAGAAAGTAGTTAACCTTGTGGAAGTAAGAACCATCACATCCTAACCTAGGAACTTGATTGGCAAATGCTCACATTAATCTATGCCTGTTCCGTGTTAAATGTCTTATTTACACCATATCTCATGGCGGTGCTCCTCAGAAAGGATATACATATATAGTACATATATATAGCTAAGTCTTTGTTTTGCCATGAAAGACCTCAAAAGTCAGTTTGGTAACTAAAAAAGAACTTTCTCTTAGGCTGTTTCCATATCTACAAATGATACTTTGAATAATCCTTTATAGTTTTAATTAATTCTAATGGAAATTGCAAGCAACAAGTTGATGACATTTGAAATGGAGTAATGGCTAAGTCCGTGATTTACCATGGGAAACCCCTAAAATCTACTTTTGCTTCTGCAAATAGTACCTAATTACCCTTCCAATTTTTATTGAATTCCCATGGAAACGTTTACAGATATGTTGATATCAAACTTCTCGATTCATAAAAATTGCTTTTTTTTAATTGTTACTTTTTGTCTGTTTCCATGGGAAGCCAGTCATAAAAAGTGGATTATTTTTCTTATATTGCCGGTGACCCCAACATTGTTTTCCAATTTTATAAAATAAAGACATCAAGCTTTTCAGTATGAAAAAATTAGCAACTTATGTCATTTGTTTTTGCTGTGAATATTTAATCAAAGCTGTTTTATATCTATTTTCCCTATATATCCATTTATAAATTAATTAGCCTATTGGCACCCATTTTCAGAGGTCGAAAAATCTCTTGGATGGCCGGTGACCCCCAAAATTTATTGCACTTTTTTTATAACCATACAACAAAGTTTAAGTTCACAAAGTATGAGAAATTTCTGTCATTTTGTTTTCTATACCCCGGAACTACCTTAAGTGACAGGATGAAAAGAAATAATGTCCTTGGAACGAAACGCTACATTTTGAAGAAGGATATTCTGTTTAGTTACATAATCTTTGTCGCGTCAAAAAGTTATGTCCAAATACTCCAAAAAGATAATTGGAAAGGTCCACATATTGTTCTGAATAAACGGAATTATGTAATTTCCTGCTTTCAGAAAATTCATAGACCAAGCCTAAATGAAGTAGACAGTAATTTAACGATATTTTAATCACGTAAATCGATAAGGAAGAAACAAATCAAGGTTAAAAGCTAATACCAAGGGAATCGTATAAACTCTAAAAAAAGGAATGAGACCGGGCGAGGGTAAGCGTCTTTTGCTATTCATGCATCACAAGCCATGCGAATCCACATCCAGTCAAAATGTCACAATCGGGAATAGGACACAATTTGTAAATTACAGATCCTACGACTATACTGGTATCTTATGATCTCTAGTGTATTGAGACACCGACGCAGCGAAAGACAGGTTGAAGCCCTCTCTTTAAGAAAATGTTCCAAACTGGTTTTGAATAGTAATTATGAATCCTGCTATATCCATTAGTCTGTCCAGAGATATAAAAACTAATCACTAACGGTGATGCGATTCTTTTTTATAATTGCAGGTTACAGTATAAACTTGTATTCTATGCCACAACTATAGATTTTACCAATAAATAATGTGCAAACTGAGCATCAAGTGGCTTTGGTTAGAGTTGCAATGAATGCCGCATGTTGGTAAGCAAAAATGCTGCAAGTCAAAAGTGTAAGGAGGGAATTGAGTCTGAATATTAGTCCACAATGACGTTTGGAAAAGGGGAATATAACTATTCCTTAAGTTTTAAAGAGAGAGAGAGGAGAGAAAATGATTGTAGTGAGGGCTTATCCGGAGGAGAAGATAGTTTTGCAGAAATACCGCAAACAAGAGCACCAATAAAGGATAGAAAACCTTCATCAAAGAAACATAGAACGGTATTTGGAAAATTAACCGGACCAACTATTCGACTTTTGGGTTGGCACAAGGAGATAGGTAGGAGCGTAATAAGTCAAAAGGAGAGGAGGAGGAGTCAAAAGAGAGAAAGATATATCAAAAGAAGAGACGACGAAGACAAATGAAAAGAAGAAAAAATAAAAAAGAGAAGAGCAGAGAAAATAATCAGCGCGACCAGGGACAGAAAGAGAATATACCAGATGATGAAGGAAGGAAAATAAATCTGAAAGGAAAAAAGGGAGGGAATGAAAAAGAAAGGAGTAAGAAGAGGGAGAACGTACATCAGCTTCTTGGAGACTAAGAAGTGTTTTCTTGTGGCAGCAAAGAGGCTGTTTCCATATGTACCTGCTTTTCGGAAGATGAAGATGATTGAAGATACACGATATTATGAGAAAATTCAGTTTTGAACCAGAAATCATTACTTGAACCAGAAGAATAGTCGATCGTGATGCAGATATCCTCAGAAAGCGAAGAAACACCTGTCATCTTAGAAACAACAACTCTCGCCAACAGTTTGACAGCTATTTTCACTTGCGATACCATCACTACACATATACCCACAGTCCCATAAGATAACTTAAGGGCGTACGATACAGTTTTGATCCCACGGTGATTGTTTTACGAAAATTTGCATACAAGCTATTTTTCACTTAGTTAATTCAAATACGAAATAAAAAATATACCTTCATGTGCTAAATTTTACGATAAATGGGGTCGACATTTACTTAAAATTTCGGTTTCTTGTACATTTCTATCATTTGAACAGACATACTTAACTTTTTTGTTTCAAAAGATAACCACATGCAGATTTTTTGTGAAACGATTTGGAATTTTTCTTTACAGAAGTATGCTCTTAATTTATGTAACAATTCTTTGAAAATAATTCATTTTTATTAAAATTTCATGATTTTAGTAAAAAACGGCATTTTTTGCTGCATATTTATATAATTTAAAAAAAATTCATCGGTGATTTTTTCATAAAAATTGGAACAAATAATCATGCAGTATCAAGTCAATTGTCATTTTAAAAAAGAGGGGTCCATGTACTCGTTTTCAAGCTAATGACTAAAATCCCTCGAACGTCATTACCTCCCCTGTAACTGTATCGTATGCCCTTAAGATTGAATTAATGTAACATAGTCAGGATGCACGATTATGATTGAATGTTGGAGGATAGAAATTCTAGCAAAATTCTTTCAGTAATCAATCATTGTCCGTCGATTGTATCAGATATTATCGACACGGACTCATCTGTTATGCCTTACAAAATTATTGGGAGAGCATGCTACTTTGTCGGTAGGGATCCAAAAACACTTAACCCTTACATTGAATTATCTTAGAAATAAAGGCCGTCTGAATAAATAAATATACATATATACATATCTTCTTATTTATATATATATGTCTACTATAACTGCTATTCCTATTGATGAAATGTGTTCTTAATGAATCCAGTATTACATTGTACATCTTTATCAAAAACACTAAAAAAATACTTACGTGTTGGATTGTGAAATGAAAGTACTCAATGCTTATTGAATCGTTCATTTTCACAGTATGATTATTATAAGTAAGTTATTTATTTTATCCCTTAAGATTTTTTTTCAAATTGTTTAAAATTCATCCTGTATAATATTTTTTATGTATGATTCCTTTGAAATCATATAAAATTGCAGATAAAAGAGAACAATTTTTTAATTTTCTTTATATTTGTTCGTTCAGTGAGCTGTTATAAGGTTTTAATCTTGATGATCTAGTATCTTTCATTATTCTGCTTACTATTCTTTCATTTGCGAAAAACCTCTTTTACTAAAACCTCACTGAGGTCTTATAGAACTAACACGAATATTTTAAAATATGTTCTTATTTCTTTTGTAATTATTTTAATTATATTGATGTCAGGAATAATAAGCTTAGATCATTGAAAACATATTTTGCATTCCTCATTAAACGTCACAAGCATGATTTATTCTAGCTCCTGCATGCCGACCAAATGTTCTGTAGTAAAGATTTGTTCTGTTTATATCTGTGTTGTGTGTTTGTACAGTTCTGGTGTTGAATCTTCTAGACGGACCTAATTTTTTTCTTATTGTCTCAAATCTTCGTCGAAAGTTTCTTTCATATTCGTTACTTGTCTGCTCATCATCACATGGATAATCTTGATCCGGTTCCTCATCACTTGGATAATCAGGCATATGTTCATCTGGTGTACTGGGTCTGTCAATACCATATACCCTTGAATCATATGATAAAGCCGATATACTCACGGTTTCCTCGTAGTCAACTTCTCGATCGGCACATTGCAAGGATTCTGTTTCCTTAAGGGCTTGTTTAGCCCACGCTTCTTCTGTTGCTTTTGAAAAAGACCACAGTCGTACACTTGATATTAGATGTAAAAAGGTGCCCCACCTGTGGATAAGCATTCCAATAAACTGCAACAATATTACTAATGCAAACACTACCAAAAAGGTAACAGACAAAGGTTCGTATTCGTTTAAAATGTAGAATTTCTTTAACTGATTCTCGTTGTTCTGAATTTGGAATACTGCCGTTGCAAACAAAAAATTCATCAATAAGAATCCAAATGCGACATTGTTTCTGAGAGTTTTAAGTTCTTTTTGGATTTCCTCTTTTTTCTGTTCGTCTTCTACAATTGGTTTAAGATACTTGTCAAGGATATCACGCCAAAATCCAGTTTCATTGTCCTTAATATTAACTTTTTCTTTGAATCCCAAGTATTCCATCGACTGCCAAGCATCAGGCTCTTGTCTTACTTTTGGACGTCTTGTTGCAGCACGTGGTACAATTGTCGCTCCAACATGTGGTTGCGTACCTGATTCTGTTTCATTACCATCGGTTTCCTGCTCAACTCCTGCTCCCAATAACTGCTTAATAAGCCTTGTTGTTTCTTTCACTACAGCCAAAACGCCTAGTTTCTGCAAACATCTAACTAGTACTGGAGGCTGTGCTGAATTAGTAAAATTTCCGGACTCCGTTTCCTCAATAACATCGTCTTCCGTTTTCTTTTCACGAGTACCCCACGTCACAACATGAATATTGCACATATAATACACGGTTAGGAAAATAAAAGTGGATGGAACTAGGAGGTAATATAGCAAACCATGAACCAGACACATTAACTCCTTTGGATGAGCAAATCCTGCGAATATGAAAATAAAAAGTATTTCGATGAAAAATATTACATTTGGACTGTACAATTTTTCTGTTGCGAGATTCACGAATAATCCTGCCGTGACGATAACCATTACTAAGGTGTACACTGTTGAAAGAAGCGCTGCTGCTGCAATTTGTTTGTCATTGCTACATTTCATGCATATGATGGTATATAAAACCACTGGTGTTACGGCGACGACGTATGAATGGAACATATTTATTTTCAGTACAGCATTGAAAGATCCGGTAATCATTAACGTAACCGTTCCGATACCAAGTAAACTGGAAGTAAGAACTACGAATTGGTATAAAATGAACAACGTGCTAATATTATCATTCATTTTCGTTGTTACCCTCCAAGATGATAGCAAGTCAATAATATTTGCTAGAGTTGACGGTGCCCATCGTCGCCTCTGCACGAAAAACTCTTGAAAGGTTTGTGGCGCAAATGTGAAGGCGTCAGCACTAGCAGCGTAATCTATTTTCCAACCCTGTTGTAGCACCAATGTACATAACCATCTGTCTTCACCTGTAAAATTAATGTTAGCAGATGAGAGATATATCGTTTGATCTGATTAAGAATGTTGCAATGAAAAAGCAAATTAACCAGAAAACTGATATCTCAGCAAGGGCCCGCCTGAACGTTTTTGTGAGAGGCACAGAAACAAATAAGTAATACTGATGCAAACAAAGCAATTCATGATCATGAGGTATTAGTTTTCATAAATTTTGATACCAGAGAGGTAGCCAACCAATAATTTTTGAGGAATCAATTTGACATATTATGCCTAAACATTTATTGCAGTTGAAATCTTAGCAATACAAATGTCTCTCAAAGTTTTTGATTTTGTTAACAAAAAAATAAAGTTTTTACCCCAACTTTGACATTGGGAATCAATTTGAAATAGCCTATTGTACCTTTATATCTATTTTGGTGAAAACATTTTTTTTTTTTTTTAAAGTTTTTGGTTTTTAACAAATGCTAAGATTTTATTACATTTCCTCAAATTTATACTTTCTGCAAATTAGACATCAAGAATTCGGGAAAACATGTTTTACCTTTATCGTTACTTTTGATATTGTAGCAAAATTATGTGCATTTTTTACAAAATCTTAATTTTTACGACCATTCCCCCAAATATTACGAAAATTGATTTTTGTCATGTGAAATAAATTTTGAAGCTATTTATCAATATTCGATGAATTTCTAGCACACCAAGACATTTCTCAAAATAGGTGATTGATTTTCACAAAAACTAAGTTTTTAAACACTGTGTTTGTCCAAATTTCACTTGAATTAGAAGGGACCTTCCTTTCATGATGTACATAAAAATTATGGAAATCGGTTGAAGCCATTTTGACTTGTCGTACGTAAAAGAAATGCTGGCGGCCAGACAGACAGGATTTCTATAGGGCACCACCGAGAGGCCCTAATTAAGAATGCATTTATATTTAATTTTAAACCACTTATCGTGCTGTAGTTAAAATATTTGTCGTTGAAAGTATTGAACTTTCTTTTAACTTTTATTAGTGGGACATTTAAGAGGGACTGATGAGAATTTTGTACCTTGTTCAAACTGGATGAAATGGCGAGCTTCCGTAGGAGGACTTGTATACATTCTCATCACATTGTCGTCCATTAAAGCAGAAGCACGAAATAAACTAAAGGCTCCTGGACAACAAAGCACACATCCAAACACATGTTCTGTAGCCTTTTGTAGCCAATGTCCGACAGCATATTCAAATTGTTGATACCATACAACAGGCCCTATAGAGAACAGCAATTAATTTAAACAATACAAAGAAAATCAATATAATTGTTTGCAATTTTACATCCAATAATCAACATTCATGACATTCAAATTACAATGTGCATGCAAAGTAATTTATTCATAGTAATATTTTAAAATGAACTCACAACAATGTTATTATTGGTTGACACCGTCCTAAATGGATATCCACCCAATGCCGTCACGTTATATTTATTTTGCAACCAATGAAACTACTCAAATTGTTTAGATTATAAACGGAAAATTTCAGCAACATAACAGCAAGACATTAGGACCTTTCTTGAATTTATCTTTGTTTCTTAAATATTTTTTTGGGTATCAAGCAGCTAAAGCCATGCTAACACTAATGATAAGTAAACTACCTCCCATTTCTACTTGAACTAGATACAAAAAGTATCCCAATGACAATGTGCAAAGATTTGTGACAGAAATTAACATTTTTAGGTAAAATAGAACTAAAGCATTATAGAAACTATTGCACAATAAATTCCCGTTCACGACGAACACGGTTTGGGGAGAATATACTCCCGGTTTCATTACTACCTATGCACCTTATAGCTGTTCCAAACTAGGAAAAGGTCATATTTGCTACGAACCTATTCGATACAGACACCAGGACGACAGGCAATCTTTTGAACTTGAAAAAGGGTTTTCACAAGATTAATAATAACAGCAATTATTTGCAACGGATCTGTTAGTCGCATAACATATATAATGTATATATTGTTTAAACATTTATTCATTTTAATACTTTATAACATTATTAAACCTGATCACAATTTAACTTGCGAAAAAAGCAAGAAAAAGGGGAAACATACAATTGAATATTTTCCCTCCGAAACATGACAATGTAAAGCAGTTTTATAAGATAAACGAGATGATACTTTATTCAGGAGAACAACTGAACTCGACGATACACTTTCAAAGGCTGAACAGATTTTACTAATATCAGATAATGTGGGTAGTGTATGCGTGTGTCTATAGCGTTTCAAATGCTTTATGTTCTACCGTGACACGGTAAAGCGTGGCAAGTCGATTAATATTCATAAATTGATCTTTTTCAATTCAGAGTTCTTTTTGTTATTTTAACGTTGTTAAAAAAAAAAGGTGAAACAGGTACATCTTAAACACACAGCTTGTCAAATTTCAGAAGGTGGGAAATTTAAGACCGGCTTTTGAACTAAACTATTTAGGGATCTTTTTCCTTAAATAAAAAAAACTTTCTCATTTTTAAAGGCAACTTTAAAAACATTTAAATGGCACGATTTTTTTATATATATAATTGTAAATAAAACATAGCAGGAGCGAATTCAAAGAGAAAAAGAAAGGAACATCCCAATTTTCTTGGTTAAAAAGGATGGGGGGCTGTACACATTTGCTTTCTATACTAAAATAAATTCGAGAATAATAAATTTTTTGAATATATAACGGACACTGATTTCGAAAACGAACATCCCAAAACCAAACAGGAGGGTTTTTTATTTCGCATAAGGCATTTTTTTTTCATTTAAAATTATTTTTTATTGATCCAAATTAAATGAATGAAAGATTTGAAGGTGCTTACATTGAAGCAACTATAACATTTAATGTTGTTTTGAAAAAGTACAAGTAAGAAAAAAAAAGGATTTCTGAGTCATAAACATATATCTTGTTTGTTTCGAAGCAGCATTCTTTTTTATTTTGTGTTCATATAAAATATTTTGGAACATTGAGGTAACCTGCTGGTTACTAACGCTTGTAAACAGGAAAACGTGGATAAAATTTACTTATTACTTCCGTTGCAAGTTATTGTCTTGTATGCGATGAAAAAAATTGTATTTTTCACTGTAGTACTGGACAAATGAAACTTTATTCCTACCAAGTATTTCTTTATTTGAAACAAATGTTAATTCTACACAGTTTTTTAAATGCCAATTAAAAAAAGACTAATAGGGGATAAACAATGGTGATATTACCCCCTGGAAGCCCCAAAATCGAATCCATTCTTCAAGCGTAGCACTATTTGATAACGGATATTTTGAATAGTGTTAACAAATATTTTCTAGCCTGTGCGAATTAATTTTGAATGATATATCATATAATAAGAGCTTGTAATAATATTCAAAGGAAGTTGATGAAATAACCAATATCTGCGCACCTGATCCAATAGGATGTATTCGACCACATACAGCGCCAACTTTTTCATTCTTGGTCATTTTGTCTATCAGTTTTTGTACTGCCTCAGGTTTGAAATCTACATCTCCGTCCAGAGCAAGAATGAAACTGTTATGAGCCTAGAACAAAACGATTTTAAATGTCACAAAACATGTATCAGATAAATGCAAAGAGCAGTTTCTGAAAGATAAACATATATTTTATTTTTATTAAGTTTGATAGGATTTTATTTTTCATCTGAATAAAAAAAATGTATCTACTCTTTGTTAGTACTAGTTGCATTTTTTTTCGCAACGATTCTTTTCAAATCGATATAATAAATAAGAGACAGAAATTTAATGAATTAAAAACAAAAGAAATCAAGCAGAGAGAGAGAGAGAGAGAGAGAGAGAGAGAGAGAGAGAGAGATTGATTGTGTCGATTGATAGCTTTTACTTTAAATCGTACAAACCCTTTTAACTTTGTCTTTGGGCAATTGGTTCAGTAACGATGTTGTTCGTCTGTAGTGATACCTTTTATTTGTTTCCTTCTCCAGTAAATCATCTTCCAAAATAGCGCCGATCATCTTGTATCCCAATAAGTAGTACATGTACATGATCTAAAAGTGCAATTAAGTAGGACAGTATATAAATAACACACAGCTGTAAGGGTGATAGTGCAGATTATTACCCCAAGAAAACATTGTCATCCGAGGTGAAGCCAGGGTTGACAATGTCTTTTAGGGGGGTAGCAATCTGCTCTTTCACCCTCTCAGCTATGTGTTATTTAATTTATTATACTGAATGTTCTGTTAAAACTGTCTATTAAATTTTAAATTTAAAGTACATGTAATAAACTATGACGTCTTGTACATAACAACCATCCGTATTTGATAAAGCACACAATTGATCAAGCGTCTACGTGAAGGGTAATAGAGTATTTGCCATGGGATAGAGTAAATTATCTCCCTCGTACTAACCAATCAAAATCTTGTATTTTGACATGAAGTATGATAATATATAAAAAATGGCTTAGGAAGTATGATTCTTTAAAATGTACAATACCAAGCGATATCTTTCTATTGCATTCAATTATCTGAATTCAATACGAAGACCTGTTGTTTTCTGTTGGAATAAACTTGAAACTTTCTTGAACCACAAAATATACTATACACACTGAAGCTTCGTGTGTGAAAATGATATCTAACTCTACAATGCTATCAAATATTACGATTTAAGCTTTTATTTCAATTTATCTAAAATTATCTGAACGTTGAGATTGCCATTACGCGTAATTTGACCTTTTTGGTTTTTGGAATTGATTCCTGAAATCAAAGGTAATGAAATAGTAAACAGGAATTATAGTCATTTCATTCTTTTTCACCGAACAACTACATCTTCCTTTTAATGGAAGATGCTTCATCATACAGCTGTTTCTGGTGTTAATTCACTATCTCAACAATTGTATCGTTATCCTGTGTGTTAGAAAGGTTTACTCTAAATTTTCGGAGTTTGTGTGGCTCAATTCTATTTCCGTTGTGGTGTTTTGTCGAATTGTGTTTATGCGTTTCGTGTTTTCCTTTTGCCAATGTCAATGTCTGTCCTTTGACTAATTTGCTATTACCACATTGGTATCTTCAATATTTTAATGTATTAGAAGCAGATGAAACCCATTGAATGATTATACCTGTGACCTTCGTTTTCGGTGTCTGACTTTCTCTTTATCTTTCAAATGAATCGTCATTTCTGTTCCCCCTGGCATGGTCCAATTCAATCGTCCCCCATATGGTGTAGTTGTTTTTGTTGGCTTAGTATCCCATTTCAGGCGGCCCCTTGCGACTGATCTGTGTCATTGAAAATAAATAAATCCATGAATCATTCCGATTGAGTTAGGAATACAATTTAATTTAAGAAAATACAGATATAAAGAATCAAATATGAATGAAAAGCTAGAATATTAAACCTACAAGTCAATGAAACTACACGAAAACACGATAAACCCAAAATTAAAATTAAGAGGGCAACTTACAATCTTTAACGTAAGACAAAAGTCGACTCCATTTGTCAAACCTTTCGGTTTTATTCTGCAAAGCCAAATCGTCAATGAATTTGAAAAACACTTCATAAATCTGCGCTCAACGCAATAATTATGTTTGTGGAAAAGAGAAAAAAACTAATTGTCAAATGCCAACATTGCTTCAGACCTCTTTTATGTTAGTTTACAGATTTGAGAAAAATAAAATTTCTTTAAAACTATGAAAAGGTTATATCATAAAGCTTACGTTGATGCCTCTTCCATGCATTCTACCAGCTGTTTTACCCATTTATTTGGTAATCTTTGCCTAGATTTTTTATCAGTTTCAAATGCGTCATCAAAAATCAAATGAACTGAAAAAAATGAAGGGTATATTTAAGGCTGCATATAGATTACGTGTATTAATTCATATAAAAGAAAACAACATTTACATGAATGACTTGAATATAGATATTTATTCTAACAAAACTATACTCGTCATTTTAAAAACGACATACTTACTTTCGTGTTCAAAGTAATCAACATCTACTTTAAACATTTTTTCTGCTAGCTTATATTTACTCCGGTAAAAATCCAACCTGAAAAAAATAACAACAGTTGTAAGCTACAAAATTAAAGGTGTTATGACATATTTTTGTTTGAATTAAATAACAATGTTAAATTTGTTTTCTATTTGTTTTGTTTCCATCAACAAGGGGTTGCATCGTAGAGAATTGTACCTTAAGGGAAACCTCCTGAATGCACGCATGAATATTAACTTCTACGAAACAAAGCAATACACTGAGTCTAATATTTGATGTACTAGCTCTCACAATTACAGCTTGTAGGATGACGTGTCCATACCGCCGACCGATTTAGTTAACTGTGTTGTATTTATGTAATTTAGTTTTTGGAACGTTTGTCTTTCTTTTAATTAATAACGGTCTCGTCAATCTTTTATCTATGAAAACCAATGTTTCACTTCACACTTCTATAATCGGTATTACGAACAAAGACTTTGCATGTACTAATAGTCTATAAATATTGTAATGTCGTATAGTTGAACAAGACATATTCCAGTCCTCTGTCGTTCGATGTATCACCAAATATGTTTAATCTGGAGTAACCTGATGAAGGTAAAACATAAATCGATTCTTTCGGAGCAATAGACTTGATTCACGGTTTTTGGTTGGGTTGGTGATGGTCAATCTTTTTTATTCTGTGAAGTGTTTTGTTAACTGTTTTTCGTATGCAAGTCTCTTTTGTCATGGTGCTGTCTGTCTATCTTCGTAGTATGGCATTTATTGCCACTTGAAAACTAGTTCCTACTTTTGTAAAATATGAATTACAACAAACGATTCATTAAACAAACCTGAATAATGATTTGAGGAGTTGCAACATTTCCTGTCTTGTTTCATGCCACATTGTTCCACATATGTAAATATACGGTCTGGCTTTCTGTTTTTTGTTCCTTCGCTCTTCTCTTTCCATACTATTTTCATTCACAAACAGTTCATTTTCGTCTGCATTTCCTTTGTTAAAGACAGGTTTAAATTTTGCATGTTTGAGAAGTTGATGTTCAACCGTATCATCTTTCCTTTTCATCAGCAATCCAAGAGATGAGAAGAAATTATCTCTAGTTGTAAATACAAATAACCTAGAGAGAAACATTGTAGGAAATTAAAAGAGCTTCAAATGTAACGGATATAAAATGCCTTCTACTACCAAGTAAAGACAAAAGATAATGTTTGTTTCTCGTTTATATTTCCTCTTTTTACTTAAAACTTATTTTTAAAGCCATCAAAACATGTTAACTTGATAAAGATGACTCTTTATTTTGTCTCTTTTACTAAATATGCGTACTTACTAACTTTTAAGGTAAAATTTATGAAATGCATATATGTAGCCCTTGACTCTTTGTTCAATAATTTTTCTAAATACAAGTCATTCGTTCGTATAAAAAACGTAGTTAATACCTTTGGTCTCGTTCCATCCTGTGGCACTGTGGAAATAGAACATACCATGTCAAAAATAGAACAGATACCCACAATCCAATACTAGATCCGATCCACATAGATAGACTTTTCATGTCAACACTTGGACAGGAAACAGCTAACCCAAACATATTACTGTCCTCTGGCCAATTATAGCAGAATCCTATAACTCCACCAAAACACCCAAGTGGCACTAACGCCAATGGAATAAAGAATGATATCCGCTGCATGTGTAATTTGCAAGCGAGTACACCTTCATAGGAAGCGAAAATGGCACAGTAAATATATATGAACATTAACTTATGGTGTTTAAAGATGTTAAAAATCTTGTCAAGAAAAGTGTCATTTAAATTTTCCTCAATCTTGTCAAGAAAAGCGTCATTTAAATATATATTAATCCTAAATATCTCTATATCTGGCACCAACAATTGTGCCATCAATAAAAATATACCCACTTTTATGATGCACATTTTCAAATTTATCTTTGGTCTTGCTTTGTCCACTGCTATTCTCCAGTCTTTTATTTTTAAGTTGAAGGATCCAATTTTCAAGTTACAAAACAGAAAATTTTGACAGTATCCCATTGAAATTCCAACTAAACTTGCTACGAGAAAGATTTTCTCTTGTGTAGTATAATAGATCTGATTTGAAATTGTATCGCTAAACACTATGTTCGGTATAACGATCGCACAAACTACGACTCCACATTGAATTAGCATTGCTATTACCGCTATGCTGACACTTGACAGCCGTATTTCGAATTTCTGTCTATTCCTTGCTAATGCAATTTGTTTTAAAATGTTCAGAATTGACGGAAGCGTAAATGATGACATGACAAGAGTAATTCCCGATGTCATGGAATGGTTATGAAAAACCTTGAACAACAGGTAGGCTGTTCCACACGCCTCTGAACTTTCCAATATTAATACCTATAGATAAATAGATAAATTTAAGATAAAATAAAGAACGCTATCAAATTCTTTTTTTCGTTTACTTGATTTTAGAAAAAATACTAATATTCAAAACTTTCTAAAACTAAAGGGAAGTATATGGTATATCTACAAAATGTATCACTGTTTAATAGTATATTGCTTTTCCTCCAGTATACAATTTAGTCCCTTGAAAGTCATTGCAATACTCAATACAAAGACAAATTAAAATTAAAAAAAAAAAATACAGAATTGTTTACAATGTCGTTATAGTTTCATGTAAATATCAATCGTTTTACTCCATTATAATATTTGAAGAATGGATGCCAATAGCGTATAATCTTAGACTTAGCATTAACAACATATTTTGATAAATACTTACTGGTAAAAAGTACTTCCATCCAATGTTTTTTGCTCTCCCAAAACACACTTTAAACATAGACTGTATAAAGGTTAAGGCAATTGGTGTTGAGTAACAAAGAATCAGTTGTGTCAAAGCGTAAGACTTTTGACCATCCTCCTTTAAAACGTTCTAAATACAATAATGAATATTTATTATTAAAGAAATATTCACAGCATTTTAGAATCGATTATTCAAACCAAAGATGCATCTTTTGCATCAAAAATGTATTTTGTAATGCTTTTTTTTATTTATTGAAAAAAACACATTCAGAAAGTTTATTTCTAATTTCATTTATTGTCGCATTCCGTTAGTATCATCCACAAAGATTCGATGCATATTTGATCTCGACATTTTAATCAATTATATATATATATAATTATTATTAAAGAAATATTCACAGCATTTTAGAATCGATTATACAAACCAAAGATGCATCTTTTGCATCAAAAATGTATTTTGTAATGCTTTTTTTTATTTATTGAAAAAAACACATTCAGAAAGTTTATTTCTAATTTCATTTATTGTCGCATTCCGTTGATCTCGACATTTTAATCAATTATATATATATATAATTATTATTAAAGAAATATTCACAGCATTTTAGAATCGATTATACAAACCAAAATATATATTATATTGATAACTTTTAACTTTTAAATTTTAAATTGTTTGTTTGTTTGTGTGTCGAAACGAAGCTTCCGCCTACCTTTAAGGCAACCTTAAACCCCATTTTATTATCAGGGTAACAATACCAATGTACAATCAAATCAAACATGTGTGCGTGTACTTTTCCAAGATTTGGTCTCTGAACGTTTTTGCAACATGTATTTGTCTGTGAAATGTCACTATTATTTATTCCTTACATTTTCTGTTTTCAACTGTGACGCCAGGAGCAGCGGGATTAGAATGGTAGCAACACCTTTTGCTGTAATTCCAACTAACAATCCAACACACATCAAAAAGCGACAGAACTTTAAGAAATATTCTTCCACTTCTACACAGCCTTCGAAATCTCTTTCAGTATTTCTAAATGCATCCCATGCCCTAGAGAGTAAGCCATAATAATCATTGTATGATTTTATAACAAAGGTTCTTATAAAAAATCTAATCATTTAAAGAAATTCCAACGTTTTCGAATGTAAACAATTCTACGACCATCATATCATCTATTTATCTTATGTATTCACAACTATGCATTTATACCTTATAACACAATGTTCAATATAGTCTTTTGTTTTTTTAATTAAAAAACTATGACAGATTGCTTTTTCGGAAATTAAACTGATAAATGTAATCGGAACCGGAATATAAACATGTGACGTACATAAATGTATCAGAAACGCATTAAACAGGTACCGTTTGTCTTCGTTCTTCATCTGTATGTTTTGCGGATTTGTTATTACAGCTCACAAAATGGACGTTACTACTTAATCACTATATTTACGGGTTATATTTATGGGTTCTATGCTTTTGGTTTGCCATACTTTCATGCAACGGGGTTTTTGTGGGTTAATATACAAAGTTTTAGACAACATGTACATTGTATACAATTACCAAACTATTTTTTACAATTGTTAACATTTACTTTTAACATATTGTGAACACATGACACAACACGAATTTCTTCCCATTTACAAGTGTATGTCACTTAAATATTGTTTTTTCCTTCTATAGACTATGTTTTCCTCGTTTTTTTTAACCCAACATCTTTTGTACATTACACTTAAATTTTAAGCAATCCTACCATCTCTTATTTTCGTTTCTTCTGTTTTGATTTTCTACATCAATATATGTTGGAGGAAAACTATTGACAGACTGTGTTTCTGGTGTATCATCTTGAACCGTAGTACTAGGCATGTGCTGCATTGGAATATCACCAGTTCTTGTGTAAATTGTCGTACTGTTTCGTGAATTCTGTGTGACAAGCGGATCTTTATGTGATTGTTCTATTTCCGTTAGTCTTGTTTGTTCCCTTCCTCTTTTTGCTCTTTCTTGTTTTATTATTTGCTCCTTTCTTTTCTTTAAATAATATAAGTAGTACAATGAGTATATTCAATATAATGAGCATTTATGTTTTGTCGTAATTAATATTATGTCAACAAATAACCTACTATCGATTGCCTAACGTTTCCATCGTAGACCATTGATTTTTCTCTTGCCTAAAATAAAGTTACTGAAGACAATGCTACTTTTACGGCAGCAGCAACGACTGGGGCATCGTAAATTAATGGACATATTTTTATACCTTTTTATAT